TGGTGTCCCCTGCAGACCCAGCACCCATCATGGTGTCCCCTTCAGGTCTTGCACCCATCCCAATGTCCCCTGCAGACCCAGCACCCATCCCAATGTCCCCCATGCACCCAGCACCCATCATGGTGTCCCCTGCAGACCTTGCACCCATCCCAATGTCCCCTGCAGACACAGCACCCATTGTGGTGTCCCTTGTGCACCCAGCACCCATCATGGTGTCCCCTGCAGACCCAGCACCCATCATGGTGTTCCCTGCAGACCCAGCACCCAACCCAACATTCCCTGTGGATCCTGCACCCATTGTGGTGTCCCCTGCGGACCCTGCACCCATCATGGTGTTCCCTGCAGACCCTGCACCCATCCCAACGTCCCCTGCAGACCCTGCACCCATCCCAATGCCCCCTGTGCACCCAGCACCCATCGTGGTGTCTCCTGCAGACCCTGCACCCATCACAACATTCCCAGCACCCATTGTGGTGTCCCCTGTGGACCCAGCACCCATCATGGTGTTCCCTGCAGACCCAGCACCCAACCCAACATTCCCTGTGGATCCTGCACCCATTGTGGTGTCCCCTGCGGACCCTGCACCCATCATGGTGTTCCCTGCAGACCCAGCACCCAACCCAACATTCCCTGTGGATCCTGCACCCATTGTGGTGTCCCCTGCGGACCCTGCACCCATCATGGTGTTCCCTGCAGACCCAGCACCCAACCCAACATTCCCTGTGGATCCTGCACCCATTGTGGTGTCCCCTGCGGACCCTGCACCCATCGTGGTGTTCCCTGCAGACCCTGCACCCATCCCAACGTCCCCTGCAGACCCTGCACCCATCCCAATGCCCCCTGTGCACCCAGCACCCATCGTGGTGTCTCCTGCAGACCCTGCACCCATCACAACATTCCCAGCACCCATTGTGGTGTCCCCTGTGGACCCAGCACCCATCATGGTGTTCCCTGCAGACCCTACACCCATCGTGGTGTTCCCTGAAGACCCTGCCCCTATCACAATATCCCAGTTGTGATGCCCCAGTTCTAACCCACCATGGCCACCACCTCTAACCCGACAATCCCCAAACCCTTCCTGATGCCACCTCGAAGACCCCACCCTTCCCCCTCTTGCCCTCAAACCCTCCCGGTAACCTTCAACAAAGCTTCCTGAAGGTGAAATCTCCACACACACACACACACCCTCCCCCCACCCCCCCAAAATTACCCAAATTCTGCTGAAAAAGGGGTCAAATTCCAGGAGAACCCTCCCACCTTCTGGATGTTCTCAGAGATGCCAGGTGCCCACCATCACTCAACATCTCTTGGGGGTTAACGACTGGGTTCCTGCACCCACCCCCCCAAAATTACCCAAATTCTGCTGAAAAAGGGGTCAAATTCCAGGAGAACCCTCCCACCTTCTGGATGTTCTCAGAGATGCCAGGTGCCCACCATCACTCAACATCTCTTGGGGGTTAACGACTGGGTTCCTGCACCCGGTGGGAGCTTATGGGTGGCATCAAACCCAACTCAACGTCGGCTTGGGACAGAGAGAGAAAAAATCC